ACCATGCAGAAGAGTTAACATTGTAGAAACGAGTTTACTCGTGTTATCTCGAACCACAGTTCAGAGCGCAATAAACCAAACGCATTAATGTACCCGATGTATATATATACATGTATACATATACCAAACGTAGTTATGTTTGTTAGCTATTTTTTAAATTTCTCATTTTTCATGTGAAAACTTCTTTAGAATGGGTGTAATTTGAAAAAATGAAACGCGGTGATGTAGTGGGAGAAAGAAACGGCTTTAACACTACATAAAAAGAGAAAAAGAGACAAACATATAATTATTTATAAATCATCATTATTTATCAAAATATTTAATTTGCAAACCTTTTTTTAAAATGTTTTATTATTTACTTTCTTCGTAATTATTGTAAAAATGTGCGCCTGTAAGAATGCAACCCTCCAGACACACTTTGAAAATGTTGCTTGCGAGCGCCATCTGTCGGGACGGAATTTTTTTTTGCTGCCCGAAAGATAGGCAATCCGTCATACATACGTGTATAAACAGTTTTGAGTGACAAAAAATTACGTCCCAGTAGATGTCGCTCGCAAGCAACATTTTCAAAGTGTGTCTGGAGGGTTGCATAAGAACAGGCGCGCATTTTTTATAATTAAATTAATAATTAAATAAATAATTACAAATTAAAAGTACAAATAATAATATATAATAAATTATTCACGAAATTTGTTTATTTGAACGTTTTTCACTTCTAACTTGTGTGATATACACACATGGTTTATTTTTTCTTCAAAAAACTGTAAATCATAAAGCAAGATACAGAAAAACAGAGAGAGAGAGAGAGAGAGAAAGAGAGAGAGAGAGAAAGAGAGAGAGACACACACACAAACACACAGATAAAGATAAAGATAAAAAGATAGTGTTTGAAAATAGCTATAGGAGACGTAGTTAACGAAGATAGTCCAACGTAAAAATGTCTTCTATGCGAAATGTTGAATGGTGGATGTTTTATCGATCTACCTGCCATTTACCTTGGAATTTTTATTAAAGCAAGACGCTTAGGTCGAATTGAAAAAAAAAAAAAGAAATGAGCGAGCGAGAGAGAGAGAGAGAGAGAGGAAGAGTTCAGAACCGTAGAGTTGCGTCTGGTTTAAGAGAAACAAAATGCATCGACGTTAATACGTACTTATATATGTATACAGGTATGTAAATGTATAAAAAGGTAGCAGAGTGAAAGAAAAAAAAAAATAAAAGAAAAAAAGATAGAAAAGCTTTTGCAAGGCCTTCTTCGTCATATACATATTTAAATATACACATGCATATATACATATGTATGTTTCCAATATAGATAGATAAGGATATATATATATATATATTTATATATATGTATGTAATGTACATCTCTCTTCTAATGTCTCTAAGCGTTTTCTGTAAACCTTTAGTAGACCGCGAACGGCCTGAATTCTCATTTCCGTTTCCACTGTTCACAGTTTCTCGATGACAATACTCTTGGGTACGTTCCATTCATTGAACGAAGCTTAGAATAAGGGAAGAACAAAAAATAATAACTGAAAAGAAAGACAGAGAGTGATAATAAAATAATAAAAGAATGTATTATATATATATATATATATATACACATATTTTGTAATTCCTAATTATAATTGATATAATATAATTATATTAATAATATATTATTTTATTTTAATATTATACTAATATATTATATATTATATTATATAGTTATTATATTAATATTATAATAATATTATATTATATTGTATTATTAATTAATTAATATAATAATTAATGTTATTATTTTATTATCACACTCTGTCATTCTCTTTCTTATTATTTTTATACACATATGTAACATTGAGATTTATCATTTAGTTGGTGAGATAACCAAACAAATTGTTATCTACAAATAAATTCTTTTTTAGATTTTATAAAAAATCAAACAAAAGAAAATAAAAAGAGAGCGAGAGAGAGAGAGAGAGAGATCTTCTGATAGAAAGGTTAAAATATAAATTCACCCCTACATTCTAAACTTCCTCAATCCAAGAAGTTGCTTGCGAGTCTTTCAAAGGCTCGTCCTTATAGAACGGATTTATTCATCGAAAATTAACGACCTTCCCCATCGAGATATCCCCCCATTCATCTCGAACTTATCTCGACCTAGCAAAGAATTCCTTTTCTAACGATTGTTTCTCTTAAGAAACGAGAGAAAATGGTATAATAAGAGAAATGAGAAAATAAGAAAAAAAATAATGAAAGAAGAAAAAGGTTGAAAAATGCGAGAAAGTATGCGAAAGAATAAAAAAACCAAAAAAAAAAAAAAACAGAAAAAACAGAAAATAGAATGAAAATACCAATGAACTTCGACGTTGGTGACTTTATCGCGTTTAAAGTAAGCACCAAAAAAAAAAAAAAAAAAA